CATCCTTTTCATAATCTTCTGATATGTCTGACTTGTCTTCAATTCCGACGATGTTTCTTTTCCCTGAAAGAACTATGTGGCGCTTTGGCTCATTGATTGGGTCGTTGTTGTTTTTCCCTCTCTTCGGTTTTGTAGACATGTCCTTGACATAGAACACCTGATTCACATCCTTGGCAAGGACGAACGGTTTGTCTTTGTACCCAATATTGTTGAGGTCCATGGTTGTCATTCCATACTGGTTGTCGACTGCTATCCCGCCTCTAGTCACATTTACCCATTGGCACTTGAACAAAGGTACCTTAAAAGTAGGTGCATAGTTTAGTTCCCATATCTTCTCTATGCGACCATAATATGTTTGCTTATTTCCATTAGGGTCGGTGGCATCTATGAGGACACCACTGTTTTGGTTGGTGCTCCTTTTATCTTGGGCTACTGTGTAAAATGTATTCCCATTTATCTCGTACCCTTTGTATGTGAGGATATGCCACGATGGCTGTCTAGCCAACAAATACAGTTGCTCATCAATACTCTCATCACCCTGACATTCTTTTCGCAACCAGTCGCTGAAAGTTTCCATGTGCTGACGCGTAATCCAAGCTTTAGACTTCCCTGGAAACTCGGATCGGAGCAACTCTTTATGTGTCTCGATATACGGATCCACCAAGGAGGAGTTTTGCAGAACTGTGTAGTGTGCTTCTGGCCGAGCACGGTTGTGAACATATTTCTTTAGGACTCCCATGAACCTCTCAAAGGAGAACATGTTGTGCAGGAACATAGGACCGAGAATGCTAATCTCCTTGACCAGGTGAACTAGGAGGTGTGTCATGATATTAAAGAAGGAAGGAGGGAACACCAACTCAAAGCTGACAAGACATTGAACCACATCATTCTATAGTTTAGCTAGATCCATTGGATTGATTGCCTTATGAGAAATTGCATTGAGAAATGCACATAGCTTCATGGTGGCTAGACGTACATTTGGAGGTAGAATTCTCTTAATGCAACTAGAAGCAATTGCGTCATGAGCACGTGGCAGTCATGAGACTTTAAGTTTAGGAATTTCTTCTCTGGCACATTTATTATACCCTTTATATTCGAGGAGAATCCATATGGTACCTTGATGCTTGCTAGGCATTCAAACATGCTTTCCTTCTCTTCTTTGCTAAGAGTGTAGCTGGTAGGACTTAAGTAATGGCGTCCATCATCTGTCTTCTCTGGATGTAGGTTGTCTCGTTCTTTCAAACACCGCAGGTTCTGTCGTGCTTCAAGTGTGTCCTTAGGCTTCCCATACACACCCATGAAGCCTAGCAGGTTCACACAAAGATTCTTCGTCAGGTGCATCATGTCGATCGCGCTACGGACCTCTAGGACTTGCCAATAGGGTAGCTCTCAAAATATGGACTTCTTTTTCCATATGGGTGCGTGACCGTCGGTGTCATTCGGAGCAGGTTCGCTGCCATGTGCCTTTCCAAATACTACTTTCACATCCTTGACCATATTGAGTACATCCTCACCAGTTTGGTTGCTCGGCTTGGTCTGGTGGTCTGCCTTACCTTTAAAATGCTTGCCTTTCTTTCTTAGGGGGTGATTCGCAGGAAGAAATCGACGATGGCCAAGGTACACGACCTTTCGACATTTTTTCAAGAATATACCTTTAATGCCATCGAAACAGTGCGTGCATGCATTATATCCCTTGTTTGATTGTCCTGAAAGATTACTTAGAGCAGGCCAATCATTGATTGTTATGAACAACAATGCTCGCAGGTCAAAGTGCTCCTGTTTGTTCTCATCCCACACACGTACACCTGGTCTGTTCCACAAAAGTAGAAGTTCTTCAACTAGTGGCCTCAGGTACACATCGATGTCGTTGCCAGGTTGCCTTAGGCCTTGGATGAGCACTGGCATCATAATAAACTTACGCTTCATATATAATCAGGGAGGAAGGTTGTAGATACATAGAGTAACAGGCCAAGTGCTATGACTACTGCTCTGCTCCCCGAAAGGATTCATACCATCCGTACTTAAAGCAAACCTTAAGTTTCTGACATCATTTGCAAACTCCAGGAATTCTCTATCGATTGCTCTCCACTGGGACCCATCAACAGGGTGTCTCAACATATTGTCTACCTTACGATCTTCTTTGTGCCATCGCAACAACTTTGCATGGTCTTTGTTTCTGAACAAACGTTTCAAGCGTGGTATTATAGGAGCATACCATATAATCTTGGCAGGGATTTTCTTCGTGGGACATTCGCCCTCAACATCGCCAGGGTCATCTCGCCTGATCTTATACCGCGATGCATAACATACCGGGCATGCATCTAACTTCTCGTACTCCTCGCCACGGTAGAGGATGCAATCATTAGGACATGCATGTATCTTCTGGATTTCTAATCCCAAAGGGTAGACTACCTGTTTTGCTTCGTACGTAGTGGCGGGCAATTCGTTATCCTTCGAAAGCATCTTCTTTTGGATTTTCAGTAACTCTCCAAATCCCTTGTCAGGTATACCATTCTTTACCTTCCATTGCAGCAATTCTAGTATGGTACCCAACTTTTTCTGCCCCGCATCACAAGTTGGGTATAGCAATTTTTTGTGATCCTCTAGCATGCGTTTGAACTTGATCTCCTCCTTTTCACTTTCGTATTCTCTTTGTGCGTCATGAATGGCCTGACCAAGATCATCAGCGGGCTCATCTTCTGCCCCTACCTCTTCTTCAGCTTTCCCCATTGCAGTATCATTGAAGGCATCATATTCAGCAATAATGTCATCATCGTCCCATTGTTCTTCTTCACCTTCTTCCATTATAACCCCGGTTTCTCCGTGCTTCGTCCAACAAATATAGTTTGGCATGAAACCCAACTTTAATAAGTGTGAATGAAGACTCCTTGAGCTAGCATATTCCTTCAAATTCTTACATATGGCACATGGGCAGCACATGAAACCATCGCGTTTGTTTGCCTCGGCCACACGTAAGAAAGAATGTACGCCCTCAATGAACTCTTGGGAGCGGCGATCAGCATTGTACATCCAATGCCGACTCATCTGCATTACATGACATACATACCATATTAAAACCTAGAACATAATTAGTTAATTATACGACATGCATACCACCACACAAGGTATTAATTTATGAAAGTCTCGCTACAATGTAGACAATCCCAACTACCACTAAAAAACTAAAGCTAAAATACACTTCAAAGAAAGATAAGGATTTCATGACCAATCCCAACTAAAACAGACATATCATGTGTTTGTTCAACATCTATGGGCTTCTTCCGGGATCATCGCCTCATCACCGCCAGAGTCACTGTGTGCAAGAGAGTTTTGCACGTGTTCAACATACTCTTCCTCCCAAAGACCAAATGAACATCCAGTGTCATCCCACTAAAATTAAAACAAAAATTAGAACTTTAATCACAATCATCATGAAAATAAGTATAAATTAACCATAATCATCAAATGCGACAAAATAACTCACATTATGCGATCCGGACACTTGTAGAAGATCGACCCTTGTTGGGACACTCCTTCCTCACCCGGTACTCCATCACAATTCTTCTTTTCCTCACACTTGCCGCTTGCAATGAGAGAGAGGTCCGCCTCGGCCGCTTTGAAACCCATGAGAGACCGAGGATCCGGAGCAGCCACCATCTACTCTCTATACTTATTTTTAATATAATATAAATTTCCTATTTTATAAACAAATAAAATTAAAAAACTCTAAAATTCTCTATATCTCTAAACCATGAAGTATGCTATGCATGCTAGAAATGAAGGTTGAATACTAGTTTTGAATAACTATTTTAACCTTCCGTCATCCAAATATGCAAACTTTAAAGTGATTTTGAGCTTAAATAGCTTACAAATAAAAAAATCCACCATAAAAAACCACATATATCTAGTCCACAAAATGAGATATGCTACTGATGAAACATGAGAGTATAAAGTTGGTAACCTTTAGAATCGAAGAATCGATGGATGAATCGAAGAAATCTTGTGGTTATCGGCGATGAGGAAGAAGAGGGGCCAGCGATGAAGCAAGAACACTGAGCTCGAAATGGCTCGGGCTCGGAGAGAAAGAAGGGGTATATAGAAAGGGACCTTTAGTCCCGGTTGGAGACAGCAATCGGGACTAAAGGTCCCTTTCTAGTCCCGGACGGAGCCTCGAGCCGGGAGTAGACTTTTATTCCTGGTTGGAGGGATCAACCGGGAGTAAAAGTTAACCTTTAGTCCCGGTTGGTAGCTCCAACTGGGAGTAAAGGTCCCCAGCAGCAAAAGCCTGTCGCACCTGGACTAAATGTTTCTCTAGTCCCGGACGTGAAAAATACCGGAACTAAAACCAAATTTCGAAGTGGATCAAAAGTCGTTTCTCTACTAGTGTTAACCGTTATTGAAAGGTGGATGCAACTACGTTAACAGACAACTTCTCTTTAAATTTAATGCATGCAATTGCACCTTCTTCCGATTCTGTTCTATACTCCAGCAGTTCAACGTAAATTTGAGGAGGATGTGAATTACAGTATCAGTGTTTTATTTCATTTAAATTTGCTGACAAAGATGCCTCAAGATCGTCTGCGAACCTATCAAAACCAAGGAGCCAATGCAAATTAAGTTGGTTTATTTCTCCTTTTTATTTTATTAGTCCTGCTGCACATGGCTGACTCTCTCTCTATCGATCTATGCTAGCAGTGTGAGCCCACATTGCCACTACACGGATTAAACTAACAAATCCGAAAAAAAATGGAGGAAATCGGCTGTCTCCATTTAATTAATGGGGGGTATTGCGCGTGTAGGGCTATCTCTCCCTTTCACTTTTAAGAGGCTTCTTTACACCATCCATCGTCTCTCCTCTCTTTTTGTAGCTAGCTTGCATTGCTCCCATTTCTTGGTCGTCTTCTTCTAGTTCTAGGTCTAGAGAGACGTGTGTGTGTGGCTACCAAGGGGCCGGCCAGCCGGGATCCATGAGTGCAAGCAATTCCGGGTCCGGGGACAGCATGGAATGGGGAAGGGGGAGGTCCAGGAAGGGCAAGAGAGGCGGCGGCGGCGGCAGCGGCTCCGACAAGCCGAGGCAGCCGCAGAGAGGGCTCGGCGTGGCGCAGCTGGAGAAGATCAGGATGCAGAGCGAGATGGCTGAGTACTTGCACCGCCCTCTTGGTCACCCGCCTCCGATCCACAGAACTGGTAGCTTCAACTTGGTAATTACCGTTCGTTTGGCCATAATTTGGTTCTTCTGCAATAGCCATGGCTATTAGCTAGGTCTGGAGTTCCTGATTTGCTGTGATGATTCTATTTGTAATTGATTGATTGATGGATCGATCGAGCAGGAAGACTCGCGGCTGTCTCACTCGCTACCTTCGTCTCCATCCTCCTCCGCCTTCTATGCTGCCAACATCGGTGTTTCATCGTCCTCCTACCCGATTCACCGTCCGACTCATCATCTTGCGGTACGCATCGCAAATGCCATTGCTTCACAAATAGTATATAGTTCAGCAGGTGTATACTGCTATTTACTAGCAGAGATCACGCAAATTAGTTGTCTATAAAAACTCTAAAAAAAGTTAGCTCTCTATATGTAGTTGCTATTTTCTTTTTTTCCGAGAAAGTTCTTGCTATTTTCGAGCTATATCTTCTAGATTTTTTTCTCGAATACGGAAAAGATTTATGCATCATTGTAATTAAGGTAGAAGTATAATTAAGTTATGTCTTCTAGATTAATTTAGACATCCTATTCAGTGATTAGCAGAGGCAAATAAACATGCGTTTTTGTGTTCCTAATTCACTTGTTAATTAATATATATAGTGCACCAGCAGACTGAAATAAAATCAGAAAAGCTAGCCAAACAATTTGGTATTGCTGCACTTTTTTTAGTACATTTAATTTGCGGTGCTTTTGCAAGTACTGGTGTACTACTAAATCAAGAATGCACCATATATTACTTTTAGGCCATGGAATGATAGATCAAAGATGAGCAAAGAATGCATAATAATTGAGCCTAACGCTAAAAGATGAACAAGAGAGTATCAGTGCAGATCAGAAGATTTTATTCTCCCATGCACGTGATGGCTTAGCCAGCTGCCTGCATATCTTACAGCTGCGGCTGCTGGTGCGACCTAACCTCAATTATGTGTCTGTTGTACGTAGATGGCATATGTAGAGAGATCTGGAGACATGAGATATGGTGAATTTCAAACCAATCCCATCATCAGGTACGGTGCGTACACATGTACAAGGCGCTATATATAGTCAAGGATTCATGCATGTTCACTTGCACTTGTGATCATGTATCAAATAAAGGACCTTGCCAAACACACAGATGATATATATACTGCAGTAACATGTGAGCATGCATCTCCCTTATTACCTTCAGGTCACCAAATTACCATGACGCTATCTATGGTTCAGAAGCACATTATTCTCATCCGAGCAATGCAACCTTGCCTCTCTTCAATCCTCAGGTACTTATTTACCCCCTATGTTCTAAATTATAAGGCGTTCTAACTTTTCTAGATATATACATAGCTTATGCTATGCATCTAAATATATACTATGTCTAAATACATAGCTTTTATTAGATATCTAGAAAAGTCAGGGCTCTAAAATGGATGCAGTATGTCTGAAATAATAAAAAATATATGTGTATGTGGTTTCAGTCTCGTCGATAACTTATTGAAGCTCATGTTGCAATGTTGCCACACTTCATTTCTGCAGGAATCAATTTGCTTGAACAGACCGTACGATCTAAATCAAACGGCAGACTCGTCGAACTTAGATGATCAAGAGGTAGATCTTGAGCTCAAGCTATGATGATAAGCTGGCCCTCTACCGTACCTCTCAGTTAAGCTATTTATATACCTGATTGTTTGTGCCACAAGAACTAAAGGGCTTGCAGTCTTGTGTGTAAAATGCATGCATATCATGGATCATATATATAAGAAAAAGAGGGTGCACACATGTGCAAATTCTTTGAGTCACAGTGTGATGATGTGTAATTGACTTACTGAACAATCAAGTACCAGCTGGATTCATTTGGTGTGATGCTGGCTACCTATAGTTATTTTGTACAATATTATTGTGTAACTTTTGGTATATAGCATAGAATTACTGGTTCTTCTCACCGTGATGCTGCAAGCATGCATGCATATGAGATACAGCATTCAATCATCATTGTTCAATTCAGAAAAGAATATATATATATATATATATATATATTTATTTATTTATTTATATTTCAGAATGTTGATTGAATGTTCAGGATATATAAGAGAATTAGATGAAGACAGTTGCTAGCGAGAACGATAGATGATGTTGATGAATGTTCCATGGTGTCGTCTCACTGTACCACATATTTGTTCGGCACAATGAAAATTTTGCATGCATATGCACATTTTCAGCAAAGACAGTCTGCATCCATGTCAGTTACGGCTGTGTACAAGGTTTGCATGCATTCAAATTTATGTGTGTGCAACTGTGTATACCTTTTGATAAGTCGTATCTGTATTCTATGCGCATTTGGTGGATGTTAGCCTATGTGGTGTGGGTCTTGTTAAACGGTTATACTCATTCACTCAGTGAATTTTGGAGACCGAAATATTATTATTATTATTTTTTTTAAAATATGCAGTGCACATCGATGGCTTAATGCATGGGAACAGTCTTTTATATACATGCAAGGTGGCATTTCTGCTAGATCGAGGTTCAGAAAATTCATGTGCTCTCCCTCTCACACACACAAACATGAATTACATTATAATAATTATCACATGTGTGAACTTAATCACTCTTAAATTTAGTTCACCCCTAAGCATATGGAGTCTATGTACAGACATGCATGCATATTCATAGAACCTTGCACTTTGTGCATGTACCGTGCAGTGGATGGGTGGCCATAAGGGTGTGCCCAGCGATAGACCAGTTGAATTCAAATCGGTAGCAACAAGAAGAGGGAAAGGAAGTTAAAATATTGAAGAAAACAATACCTACGCGTGATAGATGAGAAGGGACCTGAGGGTCAGAGAAAGCGAGCCTTTTGGATCCATGCGAGCTAGCTTCTTAAGGACTCGCTAGTGAGTGCATTTTTCGTGTTCTCTCTCATCCAAGTGGTATAAAATATAGTAGATGCCGGAGATTTCGACTCGTGTTTGGGACACTCTAAGTTTTACTCTTTAAATTGGTAAGTCGTTTTAACTTTTCTAGACACATAATTTTTCTATTCACGTAGCCATATCTAAGATAGATAATAAAAACTACGCATCTAGAAAAGCTAAAATAACTTATTATAATTTGAAATGGAGATGCAGTACTATATATAGATGTCTAATGTATTAGAATTTATAGATGTAACAGCGGAATGTCTATCAACCTCTACATGTTATCAACATTTTCAATCTATGATAGTAGAAAACTTCACAAATAACTATGATATATAGTGTCCTTTTCTTTTTACATTCCTCTGTTGAATTGGAGTATTGCCCATAGCTCATTTTTCTTGGGCGTTTTCAAACTCACTTGGTGTAAAAATGTCATAAAATATATGGTAAATTACGCAATTATACTTGTTTTCTTCATAATACAAACTCACTTGTATAGTTGTGTCAACCATCCAAGCCATTTGGTAAATAACTGCCTCGCTCCTAAGTGATTCAATAAGCATTGATCTCTTGGTTATATGTTATAGTGCAGTCGTGCAAAATAGGCTGTAAGAAGGTAGTATGAAGGTGCCATTTAATCTGTCAGTGCAGTCCACACGTACCCACACAGACCAACAATTCTATATAGAGGTGTAATTTTTTTTCTAAATTTCGTTCCTCTAGTTGACTATAATATATATATAATATGAACATAGTAGTGCATTCATGGATTATATTGATATAAGTTAACACATGGACGCCACTTTCAGCTTTCTCCAGGAAAAAAAAAACTGCAGATCACAAAATCATGGCGATCAATTATACTAGTAGATAGTAATCTGACACTCTCATCTATATCAGGATATCGTCCTTCATGCCTGGCCTTTCTTGTACACGATCCATATAGGTAGCGAAAAAAAGGCAATATCTTATTGATTGGGGGTTACGCAGCATGTCAGTCTTCAGTCGTATATCTGAATGTAATCCGAACTCCGAAGGCTAACAATCCAACGTACGGTAGTACACGTGCGATGACAGAAGCTAATAAGCTTTCTGCGTGCAATTAATATATTAAAATATATAAATCATTTCGCGTGCTGCATATGTGTTTAGTATCATTGAAAAAAAGATCTTTTTAATCTAAAGTTTTAACAAATTTCTGATTTGAAGATATAAATATTGCATGTTTATACGCCGTTATTTTCATGCACTACTAGCTAGTTGTGAAATCGAGTTTGGAGACTGCGCTGACTCACCTGCATGCTGAATAATGGTGCCAGAATGGCAGTTGCCAATGTATCTTTTGCTTTTGCAGTTGCAGACAGGCAAGTTGCTAAGGCGCAAGCATATCCTCGTGCACAAGTGTAATCCAACTGAATATCAGCTGGAATCTTTGCCGGCTAACAATCTTTTACAACGTACGACCGTAGTACGGAGCTGCGATGACAGGGCCTGAAGCTTCCAACCGCGGGCGGGCCAAGCTTTCGGCTCATCTGCGCTTCCGATCTGCCGGACTGAAATCAAATCTCCCACGACACGCAGAACTGGAAGTTCTTTTAATTTTCGGCTTGACTGACACAAAGCCAGGAGGAGTTCAATTTTGAACCATGTCGTCATCATCGCGCGTTACAGGTTACATACATGCATATAGCATGTTTTTTCTTATTTTTTTGAGAGTAGACCCGCATTTTATTGGCGTATTGAGGGTACTGAGACCACCTGAAAAGGTCCAACTCCCTTTTTAATAATAAAAAATAGTTTAAGAACAATTTAGGAAGCTAATATAGAAAACTATCGGTATATATCTGATGACTATATAGGAAACACTTGTAGTTGCTCTTAAATTATGAGCCAGCAAGCATTATACAAACTGTGAGAGGGGATCAATTCAAATATGAAATGGATCTAGGTACAAATTCAAACCAGCACGAGCAAGTTCACATGCACACCCATTATAAGATCGTGTGTTTACATCAAAATTTGGGAAGAAGAACGCGTGGACTTGAAGCTTACAGGATTGTGTCATCAAGGAATCGATTAGATGTGAATCGGTATCCGCTAATTTAAATGCGATGCCAGAATCGGCTATTTTATAGATGATGTCAGCAGGCGGCGTCAATGGGCTATTCTTGAATGGCGCCAGGAAGATGTGTCGGACTCTCCAAATAAGAAAAATTAGGGTCCAAGTTATTATTAAGTTAGAAAGTTTTCTTTTATTTCAAGAATTGTAATGAATCGTATTTAATAGGATTCATGTTTAGGTTCCGGGTAAAAATATTAGACCCTGGTTATTATAAAAAAATGAACACTCAATCAATACAATCTATCCGGCTTTCGCCATCGCATTAGGAGTAGCGAGTACTGTAGATCTCGGTGAGTTCTTCAGCAAACATGGCTGCATCGACTGATCGATCTCCAGCTTGCTTGTGAGTACCGTCATGACTTGTATTGTGCTTGTAAAGCTGCATCGACTGATTGATCTTTTATGAGCCATAATATAAGTTAGTTATCGATCTGTATCGTAGTTTGTAAGGCTGCATCAGCTGATTGACCTCTTACGAATCATAATATAGATCAAAGTTATCGATCTTATGTTAAATAACTTATTTAATAAAATATCACCGGTTATCGAATCTGCTAAGATTAGGAAAATTTTCCTTGCTATTTTTGGTTGATTCACTAGTTATCGATCTTGTTATAATTAATGTTTTATTAATTATAACAAAATCACCCGATTGAGATAGAGATAGATCGACATCATATCATCTTAATTGGTCGTCCTTCGATCTGGTCACGCTTTAAATCTTATAATTGATGACTTAATTCCGCTAGATCGGCTGTTTTATCTCTATTCTAATCAAATATAGTATGCATCCAAAGACATGTTTTAATCTTGAATAAACTCACTAGTTAATGAGATCTAATCTAATGACACTACCATAGCTGCATCGATCCGGTCGAACCTCACTGGTAAGACTTTAGATTAGAAATTATCGATTATTGCTCTTGTTCATGATCAAGATATGTACTCTATTTGTTTGCTATGATTGTATCGTCTATTTTAGCCGATTTACTTATACTCTCGTGCATATAGCATGTTTTTATGAATTTATCAACATATAGATGGTTTTATAGATTATTTGACTTTGGTTTGTTATCATTATCATAGTTGCATCGATCCGATTGAACCTCACTATTGATGATGATAGATTAGATTCAAACTATTTGTAAATTCATTTATATTAGACAGTCGATTTATTCGCATGTTATACTATTTTCATCAAACTTATCGGCTCGACACTTTATATCGATCATGTTCCATTTAGCCGATAATGCTTTCTTATATCGCTTCCTATAGATACATCGGATATCGACTATTTAGTCGATAGCTTTATTGAATCGGCTATCGAGCCATACATTTGGAATTGTCTGGTGCGACACCAACATGTTTCACCTTAAATTACTGATAAAATTTTCTCTCCTTGTTAATTGCAGGGCAAATTGACTAGCACGTCGTTGGATTTTCAGAATCGTCTGGTTCTGTGTTGAAGCAAAGTAGAATTTTGGTCTCATTCCACTCAGATCATCCGGCTTGCTGTGTGTTGATCACATCGTCACATTTTTGTGTCAACACACTTTTTGGCACGTCCGATGAGGCCACAATCGTCATGGTGGTTC